CTGCGCGATTAGACCCTGATTCGGGACTCAGAGCCTGGGTGAAAGCCGGAGTCTGGATCTTCCCGGCTCAAACCCAGTCCTGAGGTCCCCGAGACCGGTAGAGCGTGGACGATTAATTGATTGTGCTGGGAGTGGAACCCAGGGCATCTTCTTGTCATAGACAAGCACTCGGTCGCCGAGCCCTTATTTTTATTTTATGATATTGGACATTGAAGCCAGGGACATGCCAGGCACCATTCTAGCGGTGAGCTAGACTTCTAGCCATATCATCATTCTTATTTCATAAATGTTAACACGAGGTAGCATTTGCTTCCTAAAATTTTCTTTGCTGTAAAATAAACTATAAATACTACGACATGTCACTCCAGGTATTTTTGAGATTTATTAGTTTTTATTTATGTGTTTGAGTGTTTCACCTGTGCTGCCGGGTGCCTACAGAGGCCAGAAGAAGGTGTACAGTAGCCTGAGTACCGTACCAGAGTTACGGTACTAGAGTTACGGACATTTTGTAAGCTGCCACATGGGTGCTGAGAACAGGGTCCTCTGCAAGAACCATTGAGCCATCTCTCCAGACTATAATACATTTCTAAGGATGTTTTCCTATCTCACCATATTATTAGTGGACACAATTAAGAGCAGGAGCATTCCCTAATACTGCTTAACACCTTATTTACACTCAAATCCCTCTGCCCCCAGGAGTCGTCCCACAGATTTCTTTTGCAATTGATTTGTACCAACTAGAATGCAATTGTAGGCTACTTGGTGTATGTTAGTTATAACCCATCCCTCCCTTCCATTCTTCCCATACCATCGTCTAGTTGTAGAGACTCCACTGGCTCTCCCGTAAATTATCTGTTTACAGATTTGCTTTCGTGATATTTAAGCTATTCCTCCATTTCCTTGTAATTGTGACCGGTATCCTTTGGGAATTATGTTGTGACACAGGTGATTGAAGTTATTGTTTTTCTGTTATTGCTAAGTATGTATATCAAAGCTACTGAAAAATGTTCTTATACCTTCTTTCATGTTTTTAGTTCACTGAAGGAGGAAAATGAGAACACATCAAACTGCAATTGTTTCATTGCCTGACACACATTAGGCCCTTAGTAAATACTTACAAAATGATTTTCTTGTGGATTGCTTGTAATCCATAGAAACAATGTTAAAATAGAAAGGACACCTTTAGCTCTTACAGGAATATACCTTGAATACACCTTCTTAAACTACAGCTTTTCTTTCAGTGTATTATAATTGTATCCAGGAGCTATTGTAAGACCCCTGGAAACTCAGCCCTCCAGAATCTTTTCCCAGGACTTCGGCCACACCACTCACCATGAGGAGGCAGAAACTTGATGCAAACAGCAACAGGCTTTAATGAAAGGTGGACATTTGTACAAACGGGCTCTCTCAGCATGCAGGCTAGGGAGCAGCCCCATCCCCCAGGCACAGGCGTTTTTAAAGGCAAAAATCATAAGGCCCCTTAGGGAGGGGCCTCGACTCTCTGTCCGTTGAATACGTGACCAGAGTCATGGGTTCCTAGGAGATCCTTTGTCTTGAGGGGAGGCCTGGGAATCAGATGGCCTCCTGACCCACCAGTTGTAAAACCTGCAGACCTCAGGATATGCTTATCTTGCCTGAGCAAATGGTAGCTATCTCTTTGTTTCATAGGGACCCTTAATTGTTAATTATTGACACATTGGCCAGTGGGGCAATCTGTTTCCTCCATGAGGCCCTTGGGGAGGGTGGCCATCTGGGAATTCTTGGTATCCAGTTATCTTATGGCCTTGTAAGCTGGTAAATTCCAGGCCCTAAGTCATAATAGTGGCCTTAGTTTCTGAGTTAGGCTGCCCTACATTCAGTTTGGAGAGTTTCCTTATCTGGACTATATTTCTTTGCTAATTTTTAAGTCTTTCACTATAAGCCTGTGTTCCACACAGCGAATGATCCACAATAACCTTTCGGTTTTGAATGAATGAGTTATTGAATACTTAGCAAGCAGAAGTAAAGGAACAAAACAGAAAGCAGCAGATAAATAGTAGAATGTCAAGTAGGAGTTCAGGGATTACAGATGTGAGCCATTGCACCTAACTCTGTGGGTTCTGTGGATCAAACCCAGGCTATCAAGCTTGCATTGAAAGTGCCTTTACCCACAGAGACCCCTTGAAGCTCACAATCTATTCTTTTTAAAACTTTGCTATAGTTCTTAGGAAGTCACTCCATATATTTTGTATGGGGTTTTCGATGCTTACTGGTGGCGTGACGAGGGAGGTCCACCTTCATATGGATCAGCTGCCCAGCTCCCCCAGTTGTATTTTACCACTTGGTTGATTAGATTACTTGTCTCATTCACTGTGAGAGTCATAGTAACTTGCTTGTTGTCAAGAGGAGCAGTTTTACTAGTCCTGATCCAGATCCTTGCCTTGAAGGTATTGTCACCCCTTTGAACACTTCATGCTTCATAGGCTTCTTAACTTTTTGGCACACAGTCTTTAAGGAGATTATATGAGGACCAGGAGTTATCAGTCAGGTCTTTCATGCTTGTAACCCCCCCCCCGCCCCCTCACAGAACCAGTTTCAAAATGAACTTTTCTTGTAGTGATGATGTTTGCTTCCCTTTCACTCGTGTTTCTTGGCAACATTATCAGACAGCTCTACCAGTCCATCATCTTTTCTAATTGATCTTTTTGCTGTCTTATTTAATCTTGCTCCTCAATAGCTTTCCCACCGGCTAAAAAGATCATATTATTTCTCCCAGAAACCACTTGTAAAACCTCAACCACGTGGTGTAGTTTCAGATCTTTCAGTTTGTTGGACCACTATTGCTCACTAAGATTTGCTCATTCATGAGCCAATACACAGGAGGGGAGATAGTCCCAGGACCATTTACTCCTTAGAAACAGTAATGGTATTTTGTAGATTCGTATAACTTTTCCATTATATTCATCATGGAGAGTGTTCCATCGTATTCATGCCTTTGGTTTCAAAATGAGTGAGCTTATTAAACATAAGCCAGCAGAAGAGCACAAAACAGCACACAGCAGATATAAAACATTGAGAAAAGATTAGAATGGACTGGGAGGCCCAGTCACACACACAGTCTGATCAACAAAGAAAACCCCTGGCAGAATTTTTTTTTCCTGTGGTGAGACCTCCCACCACTATCATTAAAACAAAAACCACACCAGTTTATTTGTTTTTTAAATTTTTATTTTATATTTATTTCATTGTATTGAGTGTTTTGCCTACATGTGTATGCCATCATCCACAGAGGTCAGCAGAGGGTGTTACATGGAACTGGGGTGATTGTGAGCTACCATATGTGTGCTAGGAAGCAAACCAGGCTCTCAAGGACATGGTAGTTCTACTCCTGGCTGTTTTACTGTTTTCTTTTTCTCTTGCCTCAGGGCTAAGGGTGAGTCAGCCTATCCATCCCCAGACAAGTAGTCTTTGAGGATACTTCTAGATAAACATGTTTAGTTATGCCTGAAGTGGAGGAGCCAAGCCATCCTCCAAAACAAGGTTTTTAGTGAGCTCAAACAGCATATGGCAATTTACTAAGGTAAATTATATTTAATAAGGCATATTACAATAGAGTTTGCTTGTTATCATGACTTCTCAGCTAGTTTTCTCCAGTGAAGAGAAAGCAAGAGGGAAAAGTCATAAAGCTTCTTCAAGAATATTCTTATACAGAAGTTAGATTCCATCACTTCTGTCACATTGCAGTAGAAACAACCATCAAATACAGCATGCACTCGAGGAGAGGGAAATTGGGTTATCCCATCCCCACCCCCATTTTGTTCTTTCTGGTACTGAGGATCAGACCCAGAGACTTGTACAAGCTGAGCAAGTGCATTTCAACTAAACTGTATCCTCACCCCCCTTGTAAATTATATATTTTAAGATGAAGTCTCACCAGGTTCTCCAGGTTGCTTTGAAGTTTTGATCCTCCTCAGCCTCCTATGTAATTTGGACTTCAGCCCTGTGCCACCAAACCCAGCTAGATTTCACTGTTTAAAGGGCAATGTATCAAAAAAAAACTTGACCTATTGAAAATGGCCATACCTTATTGGCTCACCTTTTTGCTTTCTTTTCTGCTCTTGGTGGGATATAGAACTCTGGTCCTTCCCTTGAATCATCTTTCTACAAAATGTTTCCTATGGTTCCACATAATGTCTTGCATTAATCATTAGCTTGGGCTCTTGTGGTTCTCTTATAAACCCACAGGCCCTAGACAAGGATCAAGTACACTCTGAAGTGCCCTCAGAAGAGGTAGTGCTTTTGAAGGTCAAGCAGGAGTCAACATCTAACCAGTCCACAGTGACAAGCTCAAATGAGACTCTTTTGGCCTCCACCAATTTCAGGAACAAGGTAAGGATGGCACATGTTCATTCAAGGGAGCTCTGGTGGCTCTTAAAATGGCCAGTTAGGATTGAGATTCTGGAGCCAAACTACATGGGTTGAAATTAAGCATTGTTGAAATTAAGCTCTTGACAATAGACAAGTTAGGCAAACTTCCGGTGCCTTTAGTTCATGCATCTCTGACATGGAAAAATCTAAGTACCTCATGTCAAGAGTTAATTAGTTAGTTGAAGGTTTAAGAAGTTAGTATGTGTGAAACACTTAGAACAGTGCCTTTCATGTGGTGAATATTCTGTTGTATCTGCCTGTGCATATCTTCTCTGTGAGCCTTTCTTTTTCTCCAGCCATTTCAGCTATGGAAATGTGGTGAATCTGATATCCCTGTTTAACTCATCCTTACTTTATGTAAACCTCAAGTTCTGCATTCCTGGAATATATCTTTCTGGTATGGATCCATTTATTATTGTTCCAGGTGGTGAAACTATACTTTTAAACCAGGGGTTGACATTAAAGCAGGAAGTCTTAAAAGATTCAGAACATTGGGGGAGAGCAGACAACAAAGACATGCTCCTCTGGATACTAAGTACAGAGAAACTGTAAGTATAAGAGGATGGAAAGGCAGCATCAATGCCCTGCTGAAGAAAGACCATATAGGTATAATGAATGTGGGAAAAGCTTCACTCAGAGCTCCCTCCGCATTAAACACCAGAGAACCCATACTGAGGAGAAGCCATATGAATGTGAAGAGTGTGGGAAGGCCTTCAACCACACATCAGGCCTGAACATCGGCGGAGCCACACTGGAAAGAAACATTATCAATGTAAAGAGTGTGGAAAAGCCTTCAGTATCCACAGTGATCTCTTTAGACATGGAAGAATCCACACAGGGGAAAATCCTATGAATGTGAAGCATGTGGGGAGGCTTTCAGCCTTAGCTCCCACCTTGGCCAACATCAGCGGATACACAATGGAGAGAAGTGCTGTCATTGTAAAGAGTGTGGCAAAGCCTTCATTGAGAATGCAGGGCTTTTCTAGCATTCTTGTACACACACTGGTGAGGAACCTTATCAATGTAGTTAGCGCAATAAAAGCTTTGGTAGCCAGACGCTTCTTATGAATCACCAGAGAAGCCACACTGGAGAGAGACCGTACGCATGTGATAAATGTAGGAAAACATTCAGTCATCACTGGAACCTTATTAGGCATTTTAGAACACATGCAGTTGCTGATTGGACTAATCCTGTGGACCTGTAGTCTTTTTATGTGAGGGGGGTTCAGTAAATAAACTGCCAACATGACTGCTTGATGATATGGTTATGATTTTTATTGTAGATATGTGAGAGACAACAGCCAGAGGCATCTGGAAGATTCCAGAGCAGAGAGAGAAAGATGTAGACAGAACATGACCAGCAGACTTAACATGGACAGGGCTATCTGTGGGAAGAGGCAGAATAACCAGAGATAGAGAATAGCTGCATTATATGAAGTGTGAATAGTAGTGAGAAAAGAAATCCAGTGAGCTGGAATTACAAAGCCCCTGACTAGATCCCTGCATTTTTTCTCAATAAAGTTATTATCTTACTCTGATGTAAGTAACAGGGCTAGTAAGATGGCTTGATATGTTATAGATTACTTCCAAGCCTGAAGACCTGAGTTTGATGCCTAGAATCCGTATGGAAAAAGGAATGGACTCTCTTGTGCCCTGAACTCCATCCACATATACACCATGTGTATACCCGCACACATACACACAAATAAATGTAATAAAAACAACTAAATTGACTACTGGAAAAAATAAAGATAAAGCTATTTATTTGGATAAGTTAAAATTTTCAGTTAAGTTGAAATGAAGTTTAAGCACCCTGAATAGTACATAGAAAGTAATTTCATGTCGTGTGTGCCTGTAGAAAACATACTTTGGAAGTTGATTTTCTAGTAATGGATAAACACTGAATAAAAATGGTCACTGTGTAAGGCAGGTCTCACAGCACAATGAACAGTGTGGACAGAAGTATCGTACGTGTTTAGTGCAGGGGCACAGCAAGGTAAACTGACCACCCTTTGTACAGATCAGCGGGAACTTTTGGAAGCTCTTTCCTAAGGCTATGATCCTTACACTTCACAATTACAGAAGCATAAACCTCCTTCTGCAATGCCTCTTGTGTGCTATCACTTTAAAACAGAAGTCAAATCAGGCATGGTGGCCCACACCTGTTATCCAAGTATTTGGAGGCTGAGGAAGGATTGTCACAACTTCCTCATAAGGGTAGCTTATTGTTGTTTATTGTTTTTGTATTGTTTTTGTTTTTGAGGGGGGGAGAGGGAGAGACAGAGAGAGAAACTTAATCTACCTAAGTGATAGGAAATAAACACATTGTGAGGACCTTCTGTGGAATAGATGTGTAACAGTACTTTCTTATAGGACTATGTTTGGATGGTCAGCCCCCAAAGAATGATACAGAAATTTAGTAATTGTGAAAGCTCAGCATTTTGCTTAGGCTTGTCTCAACTAGCTCTTAGAACTTAAATTAACCCATTTATATTAATCTTCATTCCACCACCTGGCATTTCCTCTCTTGCATCTTGTGCTTCCTATTTCCTCTGTGTCTAGCTGTTGACACCACCTTTCTTCTTTCCAGAATCCTCTTTGTCCCCTGAAGTCCCACTTAACCTCTTCCTGCCTAGCTATTGGTCATTCAGCTTTTTCTCAAACCATTCACAGTGACACATCTTCACACAGTGTAAAGAAATAGTCTGAAACATGGATGAATCTATTATTAAACATAGCTTAAACTTGCCTCTTAAGAGGACTGAAAAGATGGCCTGATGGTTAAAAGCACTGACTGCTCTTTCAGAGGAACATGGCTCAATTCCTAGCACCCACATAGTGGCTCACAAGCATCTGTAACTCCAGTTCCAGAGAATCTAACACCCTCTTCTAACCTCCATGGGTACCAGGTACTCATATGGTACAGAAACATATGTCAAGCAAAAGACTCATACACTTAATAATAATGACAAACTACAAGAAAACCCTTTTGTGGTGATTTGAATGAGAATGGCCCCCATAGCCTCATATGCTTGAATATTTAAGTCCCCAGTTGGTAGAACTGTTTGGGAAGGATAAGGTGTAGCTTTGTTGGAAGAGGCGTGTCACTGAGGACTGCTTTTAAGTTTCAAAGCCCACAGCATTCCTAGTTTGTACTTTGCCTTGTGTTTGTGGATCAAGGTTTGAACCCTCAGCTCTGTGCTCTGTGCCATGCCTGCCTGCCATGCTCCCTACAATAATGATCATGAACTGTAAACCTTTGAAACTGTAACCCACAATAAACACATTCTTTTATAAGTTGTCCCAGCAATTGAAAAGTAACTAAGATATCGTTCTACCACAAATACATATATAATAAAATAAATACTGAGAGAAAATTGTGTCTAAAACACAGAAACGATGTACAATCTTTGTCTATAGTCTAATCCCCTATGAGACTTCAGCACTATGGAGTCATAATTCACTCATTCCAAATGTCTCTCACTGGATGAATAATTACTGTTGACCCCAATCCAGTCTCATTTATCTTATGGGACTTTAACATGGTCTTTTGGTCAACCCTATACTTGCTTTATTCTCAAGATAACTCTGTTACTCAACTTGCTTCATCACCTTTCTCCTTTTTCACTTCTTCCAACTCATAGTCATGACATAACATTTCCTTCAGTATTCAAAGGCACAGTTTCATCCCTCCACCCCTGTACACCAATTTCAAGACTGATCTTGTGTCAACTACATAGTGTGATAGAGCTGAAATATTTAGTCTCTTACACCTATGTCTTGTTTAGAACATTCTTCTCTCACTACTAGTATATCTGTTTTGGATTATGGATTCAGTGCCATTTTATAGAGTATGATATTGCCTGCATTTTCAAAATGTCAAGCTCTAAAGAAAACTGACAATGGGGAAATGGTAGGAAAATTTGCTCTTTTAATATTTAATTAATTTAATGAGTAAATGATTTCACATATCTGACACAAAATTAGACATATAACACAAATTCAACATTGAAAAAACTTTTAAACATTATTTGCTGTAACAATTTATGATTTAAAAAAATACCAGTTATACACCAGCTGTCACATCTAGTCCCACTTGAGTCACCTAAAGTCCAACACCAGCTGTCACCTCAAGTCTATCATTAGAGAGGCACTACTAAGAGGTGTGACCTTTTCACAGTAGGTGTGGGCTTGTTGCACAAACTGTGTTACAAGAGTTGCCATAAAGGGAGGGCCTAGGCCCTGCCCCAAATGACTTGACAGATTTGATGGGAGGGAGAAGGAAATTATATCGTTTCTAATTTAAATAAAATGTATAAAATCATTTCTATTTAAATAAAATGTATAAAATTGTTTCCAATTTAAATAAAATTTATGAAGAAAAAAAATACCAGTTACTTAATTATACCATCTCCATCACATTTGCTTTGGTAGGGTAATCTACTTACAGGTACAATTTTTTTTTGTATCTTGTTTTATGTATTTTATCTCTCCTATTCAAACAGATTAACATTATGTCCCAAGTAAAACTATGCAACGCATCTCCAAGAGATCTAAAGGAGAGCCAGGGTTACAGATTCTGCGCAGCTGCCATACATTGCTCATGGCTACATAGATCATGTAACTAATCAAAGCTGAGTACCATTTCTTAGGTCTTAATCCCACCCTATATTTGGAAATAACTTGATTCATTTTAGCTATACCTTTCCCAAATTCCTCATCCAATTTCACTATGAATGGTTGGCTGACTTGAAGGAACTCATTATCAGCAATATAGTTTACTTCACTGACTTTACTTCACATGTAGGTTCCATGCCTACAGCATTTGAGCACAGACTAATAAAGCCATCACTAAGCCAATGGCATAAAATTATCTCATCATTTTCTTCCACCCTGAAATCAAAATACCTCCTGTTCATCTTTTTCATATGTTCTACATTCATAAGCGGACATTTTTCCATCCTGCTTTCATGAATTGATCCTGTAGCCTTCACTCCCTTCTTCTTCAAAGCTGACATCAATTTAATGCTTGTAAAGAAGCTATGAAAACACAGGTGATAGGGATAATGACCTTTCTGCAAAAGAACATCCACAAAACTCATTATTAGATTGCCACCCAGCCCAAGGTCCAGCTCCTTATCTGTTTCCACAGTTGAGTCTTCTTGGTGTGGCTCAAACCAACCTAGATAATCTTGTGTGGTTGTACCACACCAAACTTTATAGCCAATTCTAAGAGGCTTTCCATTCAGAAATTGGTCACTATCGAAACATTCACACATTGACTTGTCAAAACAATAGTATTCTTCTGGGGGGGCATGCAAGAGGAAATTTTTATTCATTTGCTTTATTAGAGGCCTCAATTTTGAAAACTTATCTTTTTGATCTAGGTGGCTATTATCAGCAAAGTGCAGGTAAGAGAAAATCAACTCAAATTTGTCTCTTTTAATTGCGTTTCTAACCAGGGTCTGATCACAATCAGAGATTTCCCAATACATTCCCTTCCTGGGATGCCTTACTAATCCACTCCAGAGCAGGACACCAAACACACACAGCATCTCCTGCACTGTGACCTCCAAGCTGAAATTTTTCTGAGAAGAGTAATTATTGGTTTCATTGACAATCAAGTTGAATGTTTCATCATCAAAAAATAATTCAAAGAGCTCTACTGGGTTCAACTTCTCACTCTTGAGATTCAAAAGTCCAGAATCCAGTGCTGACCAGGTTGGAAAGTTGGGCTTAATGTCTCTTTTAGTCCAACTCTTCTCGGGGACACTGGGCACCTTTCGCTTCTTTCTCTGAGGCTGCCCCTCAGGCTCACTGTCTTCTTCGGCCTCTGAGTCATCAGAAAATGTGAGACCTTGAAGCAGCTCGCTCATTCGAGATTTGTCCCTTTCCTTTCCTTTCTGAGTAATGTCTCCAGCTGCATACTGCAAGGATGTAATGTGCATCCTGGCCCAGGAGTCTTGGGGTGGGTGGCCCCTCCTGACTTTTCAGTAGGGAAAGTAGTACTACCAAGGATGTGGGGTGTGCAATCTCTGAGAAAGAAAACAGAACACATGTTACAAACAAAACAACCGAAATCATTTCCTCCCAACATGAAAAATACAAAGTAGAATCATTTTCTGGAGGATCTACTTTATACTCCTTGTGTTTCCTGGGGAAGACTTGCTACGCTTGGCATTCTGACCTCTCCCTCACTCCTGAGTCATAACCAATTGCTGAATCTGATAAGCCAGCACACTGAGCACAGTCTGGTGTCTGTCGGTGTCTCCTGTGCGCCCTCCTCCCCCCCCCCCCGACGTAGGAGCAGCATGTAGACCTTCCCTGCTGCTTTAGGCATCTATTGTACTGGGCAGGCCTCTGTGGGAGGTACCCTTCTACCATTCAGAGCCTGGTTAGCTCTGCCTCCCAGCTCCTTATCTAGGGTAGCTTCTGTCAGCAGTAACTCGAGATTTCCAGAACTGTCTGTCCTACTCTCATGTCCCTGTTTTCTCTTAACTTGGACATGAACTTGTGTCAATTCACTATTTACCATGTCTTCTCACACCTCTTGGGATTTCTGAGCAAGGAAAGACTTAGCATCCCTTAGCTTTATACTCATCTGGTAGAAAAATTTCTCTGAGGAGAAACAAAACCAAAACTCCAATTCATTGCACCTAAACTAGTTTGTGTGGGATCTACAAGGAAGCAGGCTAACATGAAGATGACACAGGTAACATTACTCATTATTGTTGTGTGAGTGGGCCACAGTGCTTGTGTGGAAGTCAAAGGTCGGCTTAGTGGAGTCACTTCTTTCCATCTTTCTGTGGGTTCCGAGAGTCTGAACTCAGACCATTGGGCTTGGGTGGTGTACTCTTCACCTGCTACGGAGTCAGTTTGCCATTTCATTTGTTGTTGCAAGATCTGGGGGAGGAAGCACAGGAGTCCCTGGGCAACATGTGGCAGTCAGAAGACAACTTTGGGGAGTTGGTTCTCTTCTTCCATCTTGGGACCCTGGGATGAAACTCAGTTAGTTGGTCAGACCTGCATGGCAAGGACTCTTACCTTCTCAGCCATCTTGCTGGCTTTTTGTTGTTAAGATTTTTATTTTATTTTTGAAGTGTGTGTGAGTGTGTAATGTATATGTGAGCTCAGGTGCCCAAGGAGAACAGATGTGGCAGATGGTCTGGAGCTAGAGCTACAAGGAGTTGGGAGCCACGCAAAATGGGTGCTGGGAAGCAGACTTTCACCCTCTGAAAGAGCAGCAAAAACTCTTAACTACCAAACCATCTCTCTAGCCTCCTGTTACTTTCTTTTTCTTTTCTTTCCCTTTCTTTCTTTCTTTCTTTTTCTTTTTTTTTTTTGAGACACAGTCTCACTCTGTAGCCTAGGTTGGCCTGGAATTTACAACGTAGCCTATGCTGAGCTTGAAATAAAGGCAATCCTATCTTCCTGTCCAAGCCTGGAAAGTCCTGTGATTATAGGCATGAGCAACCACACCTGGCTCAATTCATTCATCTTGAGATGATATTATGAATGAAATGATATCATGACATTACTGCCTTTCATCATGAAAATCTAAACTCCCAGAGCCATGGTGCATTAAGGCCAATATGCTGATGTCAGGATCTGGGAGCGGGAAAATGGGGAAGAGTGAGGTGAGGGAGAAGGGTAGGATGGAGGACTGGAAGGGGAATGTGGGGCTGCCAGAGGCTGCAACTCTGAAATCATAGCAGGGCTGATACATTAGGCTAGCCACCTCAAAGTGTTTGTTACATGAAATAATAAAGTATTTTTATTCTTACAGGCACTGTGAGTCATGTTTGAGGCATTTGATGCTGCTTATACCTACAAGCAAAAGGACAGATTCCCATGCTCCAGTTACAGCTCTATTCTAAGTTAGTGCTGTCACATCTTATCCTATAGTCGAACTCAACGGAGTCCTCACTTGATGGGGAATGTACTGTGTATGTTTAGCTTATTGATAGTTAAATAAAATACTGTTTGGCCAATGAGACAGCAAGTTAGACGGGACTGGAAGTCAAAGAGGATTCTGGGAAATGTAGTAGAGAAGTGATGATCCAGGCAGGAAGTGACATAGCAAGGAGACTCATATTTAAGCGAAAGAGAAACAGGAAGTGCCTTCTTTTCCCCTCTGCTCCTGCGGCACAATGTGATCCACCGGCCAGGAGGGACGCCAAGAAGGCGTCCACTAAGATAAGTCTTATAAAATATATAGATTTATGATAATTAAGACTGAGCTAACAGATGATCAATCCTAGTTATTGGCAAAGCAGCTTTGAACCTAATACAAGTTTCTGTGTATTTATTTGGGCCTAACTCGGGCATGCGGCTAGCGTAAAGCTCACACGTGGCGGTGGGGTTCAGCGACTTTTGGCGGAAAGATTTATCGTAACACTCACTAGTGTCATTAAAAATTTCACTCCTTTTTAGTTTCAAGATACTTCTATTTTACGGTTGTGGTATGGCTTAGTGGTAGAGTGTACAGCAAAGCCCTGGGTTTATGACATGGCACAAGAGGAGGAGGAGGAGGCAGCAGAAGTAGGAGGAAGAAGAGGAGGAAAAGAGGAGAGGGGGAAGGGGAACAGAGACAGAAGAGAGGAGAAAGAGAGAGGGTTCTATATTATCTCAGAATTAGCTTCCTGTTTCCCTAAAATGGATAAATGTAAGCATGGAGACTCTCCACACCGTGCCCTGTGTGTGTGGTTAATTATCCCGCTTCTCCTTGCTCTTCCCCAGCCGGCTCCCCCAAGTTGTTTAAAGGATAATGGTTTCACTGGAAGCCAACCTTCTGCCTGGGATCTGATCCTTCCCTTTCAGCCTTAGGAGTATCTATGTTACACTTCATGGATGCTCCTAACCAACACTTAAGTATGAAGCACCTACTACACAAATAATTTCTCCTTATCAGATTTCCTTTTGATGCTTTTCTTGTTCAGGCCTCCTAATGGAGGTTGAAAATGTCCTACCTATCTCCCCTAAGTCCTCTCACAGCTCCCACAGCTCCTTCTCAAATGTCAGGGCAGTTTCACTGACACCTAAATTCTGTCTTTTGCTTTCTCCATTTCCACTTCCATAAAAATATTAGGGGAGAGTGATCAAGCAGGACAGAATATTGAGGAGATGCTGGAGGTAACTGTGCTGCCTCGAGCTTTTGCAGTTGTTCCATACTGACAGGACACCCTGGCCCAGGCGTCTTATGATCACAGAAGATTGTGATCTTTGTTCCATGGATGCTGACTTCGATTCACTGGCTTTTCAGCTTCCGTCCAATGTCTTCTTATATCTGCACCACTCAGGACATAGACACTTACCTGTTGGGTATTCTTGAGTTCTTCCCATCTCGTACCATTTCTTCAGAAGTGTCCTGTTCTAAATTAACAGAATCATTAGTTGCATTTCTTCTGCTAAAACAATACATTAATTAACAATTGTTCCATAAATTACAATTAAATAACAACTATCCTATAAATTCAGAAAGAAATAAAAGAAAATAATCTCTAGGGATATTGAATAATTAGTTACAGTTAAAAGCAACCAAAAATATCAACATATATCTTAGGAATGAACATTTGCAATCCTAGAAAATGTAGCATAGGGCCTGGGTGTGGTGGTGTACACCTTTAATTCTAGTGCTTGGGAGGAAGTAGAAGGCAGATATCTGTGAGTTTGATCCCAGTCTAGTCTACATAGTGAGGTTCAGGCCAGTTAATGCTACATAGTCAGACTCTATTTCAAAACAAACAAACAAATGAACAAAAAAAATCCAAAAGAACACCCCCCCCCCAAAAAAAGAAGAAAATGTAGCATAGTATGGGAAGATGATAAGAAAGGCCAACTAGGGTACCAGAACAGGCAGAGAGAGGTCCCAGCCGGGCACAGCACATTTAAGGCAAATTAAGAATGGACAGTAGTGTTCTCAGTAAGGAGATCTTCTGTAGTGGCATCTTGCCTTGCCAGTGAATTTGCAGTAGTGGCCATACCCTTTAGGTATGGTTTCAGGTGCAGATGTGACCCATTATAAGGTAGAGGAGGGGCTGGCTTTTGCTGAGTTGAGTTCCCACAGAGCCTCCTCTGAGCCAGATGGGACCACTTCTCTGAGACAAAGGCCTGGGCTGTTTTTTCCCCAGTTTTCACGGGAATCTAAAAGGAAAAGAAAAAAGTGGATGAAGAGCTAATAATAGATGAGAATAAGAATGCCCCCCCCCCACAGGCTCATAGATTGGAATGCTTGATCATCAGGGAGTTATGCTACTTGAGAGGGATTAGGCCTTGCTGGAGTAGGTGTGACCTTGTTGGAAGAAGAGTGTCACTGGGGTGGGCTTTAGGGCTTCAAAGGCCCAAGCCAGTCCTGGTACCTCTCTCTTCCTGCTGCCTGCAGATCCAGATGTTAAAACTCTCAGTTATTTCTTTAGTACTTGTATGCTGCTGTGCTCCCTCCATGATGACAGTGGGCTAAACCTCTCAAACTGTAAGCTAGCCCCAGTTTAATGCTTTTCTTTTAAGAGTTTCCGTGGTCATGGTGTCTCTTCATAGCAATAAAACAGTAACTAAATAGAAGTTGGTGCTAGGGGGTGAGGTATTGCTGCGACAGGCCTGACCATGCTAATTGTTGGTGGAATGTGTTCTTTGGGACCTTGGACTATGAAAGCAGTTGAATGCTTTAAGCAGGGCTTAATGTTACATTTAAGTAGGAGCATGGAAGACAGTCATGCCACGAGCAACTTATATAATGATGGTCTAGCTCAAGAGGATCCAGAGAAGATTAGTTAAATGGCCTAGAGATAGTTCTTGTGATATTTTGAAGAATGTGGATGCTTTCTGCCCTTGTCCAAAAAAAATCTGCCTGAGGTTAAATTGAAGAATTTTGGATTAATGACATTGGCAGAGACAGGCTAGTACAGACTCTGTTTTTGTGGTGTGACAGTGATTATAGATATATTAGTGATTATATGTTTCATTATAGATCTTATGCATATCTATACTGAAAAGGAACAAACTGAGCAAGGAAAAATACAGAATGTACAGTTTGAGGAGCAAAGGAGCAAAGTATAATGGAGCTAAGTTGAGTATAAAAGGAGATAAAAAGTTTAAAGAAAAACCTGATCTTAAGTGGTGTCTTTATGGTGAGAGTCTACCCAACTAAGCTTCCAACTTGCAAAAAGGAATTAAATAAAAGCTTAGGCGGTGAGGGAAACCATCACAACAGAAAGCTGGTGAAGATGTATTTGAACAAGCAGGCCAAGTCCCAGCTACAGCAAGCAGAAGAACTTGGCAGTTTCAGGCATATGGTTCTGGCTTTAGAATCAAGAATATAAGGGGGTTGGGGAATCTCCCTTTGTGGCTAAGGAAAGCTGCTGAGGTCAGGCATGTATCAGGGGTATCCCTGAACAGAGGTCTGGAAATCTGCAGAGCACTTTGACATCAGACATCAAGATGCAGAGTTTTAGTTTGCACTGTTGGTTTTTAGTCTTGTTTTAGTACATTTTTTCCTTACTATGGCCCCTTTCCTCCCTTTTGGGGTGGTAATGTATATTCTGTGCCATTTGTATGTTGGATGTATGATCTGCTTTTATATTTTTATTTTCCAGGGCATTATTGCTGAGAGATTGCCATGAGTCTCAGAGAAGACTTTGAACTTTGGGTGTGGGTGTGTGTGTGTGTGTGTGTGTGTGTGTGTATGCACATGCGCGCGCTCTTTGAGACAGAGTTTCCATGTGCAGCTTTGGGTGTCTTGGAACTCACTCTGTAGACCAGGCTGGCCTCAAACTTAGAGATCCACCTACTTCTGCCTGCTGAGTACTGGGATTAAAGGTATGAACCAACAATGTCAGGCTGAACTTGGATTTTTAAATAGTGTTGAGACTGTTATAGACTTTGGGACTTTTGAAGTTGAATTAAGTGCATTTTTTTTTTTTTTTTTGCATTATGATATAGCTAGAAGCCTTTGTGGGCCAGGGAGTAGAAGATAGTGGCTTGAATAAGAATAACCTCCATAGACTTATAGATTTGAATGCTTGGTCATCAGACAGTGGCACTACTTAAGAGGGATCAGGAAATACAGCCTTGTTGGAGGAAGTGTATTACTGGGGGTAGGCTTTAGGATCTCAAAAGCCTGGAGGAACTGGAGGCTCTGAATCTCCAAAGAAGCTCCTTGATACTCTGTCATCACTAGGTGCATGTCCTGTTCCTGAGCATAGAAAGTGGCCTGGAGACAAAAGATTCACTTTGAAAAAGTTTCCTGAAGAGAGCCAGAGACTCTCATAAGGGAACACAGAACAAGCCCCATTTAGCCCTCTAAAGAAGGCTCAAGAACCGACACGCATTCATTCAGCCAATTAGCACAGCAAACTCACTCAGACAGGCCCTCCTCAGTATCTAGGGATTCACACATCAAGGCAGGCAAGACAGACAAAGGACCTGTCTCCAGAAACACAATGATTAGATGCATGCCTGAGCTACAGGCAAGAAGGTAATGAGGACTATGGTCCGAACACTATCTCAAATGTCTTCTACAAATTACAAAGTAACTACAAAGGGGAAAAAGGCTGATTCTCTAGAGAAAAAATCTTGACAAGCTCTCCCATGACCTTGTGAGTAACGGGCAAAATCATCCCTACGTTCCTGGGAAAAGACTGATAGGAGAACACACTGGCCTCTGTGGTAGATATTTAGCCTTGGTGATCACATTCAGACTGTAAAAGCATTTCCTTGTCCTTCATAAATATAAACTGAAAGCACTTGCTGGTAAAGGGATTTTTTTTACAATTAATTATCAGTTGGTTAAGAGGGAAAAGGTCTGGATAAATGTGCATCCCTATGCAAAAAATAACGAATTTGCCTTGCACAGGAATATGGATGGGGTAGGTGGGGCGTATCATGGAACTAGAGTTACCAACAGTTAAATCTGCGTGAAGAGTATTCAAGCACTCTATACTGTCTTTGTGGTCCTTCTCTCAATTATGAATTATTTCAGAATAAAAGGTTAAGCACTAGCAAGTACACATTCCCCATGCGATTTCTCCCACACTAGCACATCCCTTATTTTCCCACCTGCTGCCCTGTGTCTCCATGTTCTGAGGCTAGATTCTCCAGCAATGTCGCAGCCCTGTCACCACTCTGCAGATGATACATCTGTACCCAGGCTTGGAGTTCTTCCAGCAGGATGCTCAGGATCTGCTCCTAACTGTGGGTCTCTGGCTTCAGCCACTGATGGCAAAGTTCCCAAAGCTGCACCAGAGCTTCCCGGGGCTCAGAGGACTCCTGGTAACAGAACTGCAGAAATCTTAAGTGGTAAAGTTCCTGAGTGTGGACCCTGCTCTCCTGTGAATTGCCTGGCTGCTTCCAGGTGGGATCTTCCACCTTCACTGTCATAAGGCTGTCTTCATTCTCAGGAGTGGAACCCGGCAAAGCTTCGTACATGTTGAACTTAGAAGTTGCAGTAAGGTTCATTTGGCTGAAGTCTATGCTTCAGAAATGTATTGCTAAATGAACATCTACAATGTAAGAACTGAACAGAAAATTAAAGCCAAAATAGTTTCAAGACCCCCATGAAACATGCTTTTATTTTTGTCTCCATATGCTGTGCATATAGGGTTTTATGCATCAAAATCATATCCTGAACACTAAAGGAGGTGAGCCCAGGCATAAGGGATATACCACGAGGGAAGAAAGGCTAACAATAAGAATGCCAGTCCAGGCATGGTGGTGCATGCCTGAAATTCTAGCCTACAGGAGCAGAAGCTATTGTGGACTAGTTAGCAAATAAATATAGAGTGCTAAATATGCTCTGTCTCAGTGAAACTGAAAACAGCAAAACCGTAAGAATGTTTGAATATATTACACTTGAGCTAGAGAGGAGGGATAATTTAACACATGGAGAAGCCAGAGAGCTATCTTGGCAGAAACACATTACAGTTTAAAGGTCATTTATTGAAATGCATTGGATATTTCACTTTATGAGTAGTTATGGTAGTGTTCTTCCAAAGTTTCCAATCACCGCATGCCTTCTGTAATAAGATCTTGCCATATATAACTCCCAGAATTCTTGTCTCGAATCTGTGCTGGCCTACAACTTGCTTTGATAAACAGAGCATGATAGACATGACACAGTAAAAGGAAGTGTCCCTACAGCTCTTGAGACACTGCCATAAGCAACCACACTGTGAAGATACCCAAGATGGCCATAGAGACATCACTTGGAACCAGGGCTCCTAGGCCAAAGCCTAGCTGGGCCTAGAGCCTAGATAATTTAATACAGCTACACGAGTAACTCTAAGCAGGACCAGCAGTAGAACTGGGAAGTCAACTCACAGAACCCCAAGAAACTGTTTTCATTATTAGGGTTTTATTATATTTTTATATAGAACAACAGCAGACCTACAACATCGGGCACAGCAATTTCTTTATTTTTCCCTCATCTCACTTTCTCCTTTTGTGATCTCAATTTCAGCATATCTGTTTCAAGAACACGTAGATAAATTTTCTGACTCCAGCTTGCCTTTTGACTCCAGACTCACATCTTCCAGTGCCAGCATCATGCCTTCAGTCTCATGCCTCCCCTGCACCATCATTTCATCACACATCAAAATGAAACCAGAGTCCTCACAGTGGAGCTCATCATCTATTTCTCCATTTCAATTGATGTCAGCACTTTCCATTCATTTAGGCTTAACATTAGGTCCCAAATAATCATCAAGTTCCGCTAATTATTTCTACAAAAAAACGCCTCTTACAGGTATCCCTTCCTTCCTGTTCCTTTAGTTACCACTTTCATCCACTATTACAATAATTTTGTTTCTTCTGAGCTCCCATCCTCATTGAATTAATATTTCCTAAAGCACAATTTTGATCATACTTGAACATGCCTCCTGTGATAGTGTGAAATACATTTGTTATTCACTGTTTTCTTGTACATAACTCCTAAAATTCTTTGGGTGAGATAAACGGTAAGTTAAATTGATGATCACTAAACAATTATTTAATCCATCATGCCTATAAAATAGTCTCCATCAAAACCCAAAACGGCAGGGTTCGTGGAGCTTCCAAACATTTGAAGGTTGATACCTCCACAGAGGGCCTGGAAGCACCATGCTCCTTAATCTTATCTAGGAAACACAAGGGCACTTCCTGCTTCACCTGTATCCTTTGCAATATACTTTATATTTTATATGCTTCCCGAGTTTCTGGAAGGAGTGGTAAAAACCCTGGTTTCCATATGCTTCCTGAGTTTCTGGAAGGGGTGGTAAAAACCCTGGTTTCCAGCCAGTGGGTCAGAAGCATAGGCAAGATAAACAGGAACTTAGAATTGATGTTGAATATGGGAACCAGCCTATGTCTTGTATACTTGAGCCTCAGCATATAGGATCCATTCATCTACATTGAATTAAGGGACACCAAATGATGTTTAGCAAATAATTGCTTGTTTGCTGGTGGGGGCAAATCTCTATGACCTTTTGAGGTCTGAGAAGTGTTTCACACTGACTGTTGTAGGGTTAAAAAGAGTGAAAACAGTTTTTTCTACAGGCTGCCATTAAACACGGGGGTGGTGGAGGAAGAGGGAGGAGAGGGACCACTAGCATCATCATCACCACCACCACCACCACCACCGAGTTTCAAACACTTCTTGAACTTCAAACTCGCAGAACCTGATCTTACCTGCGTTTTACTTTTAGTTTACCACGAATTATATTAAGCGCCCAATTATTTTCCACGTCTAAAGTTAATCCTGGGATAAAAGAAGTTAGTTCTTACCTTCAAGAAAACCATGTACATCTCAGTTCCTCATTCACACAGCACGCTAACATTTCTCCTCTCCACTTTGCACTGGGCTATCCTTCCCATGTAATTTCCCACTGCCATGTGACCTACTCTGTATGTGCATAAACTTCCGTGGCCACCCTCAAACCCAATGTACGGATGGGGAAAACTAAGCCACACGGGTGGCAGAGCACCGGTAGGTGTATGCACCCCGTTCTCCAGCTTCTATTACAGATATCACAGCCATCCCTGTCCCTAGCAGATCTCGGCATAGTCTTCAAACGCAGCACGTACCTGGTACCCAACAAAGACTGATGAACTTCTTGACGAACGTGTACCTGAGGTGCATTAGCCAGGGCTCTAGCGTGCCAGAATCTATGCTAAGGCTACATAAGCCAGCGCCTAGCGCACAGCCGTTAGTGTCTGTTTGCTGCTTTAAAGTTTAGGGAACCTGTGCAACGAGGACGTGCCGTGCCCCAGAACTAGGAGGCCAGAGCGCCACAGCCTGGCAGTGCTGCTGCTAGTCCGAGCCCGCGATGATGCAGTTCGGCCGAGTCCAATGGGATGAGGGACGGGGGGCACTTCCTGCAGACGGAGCAGGACCCCAGCGGCAACTTCCGGCTGCCGCTGTGCACTGCCCCAGTCTCTTGTGCTCCTGTGGAACCAGGTCGGCTGGACACCAGCCTCTCCTGATGGTTCCGAACCCCAATCACGCGTACATTTACACAAACCATTTCAACAAAAAACCTGTGGGATGTACTTGAGAGAGAGAGAGCTCTTGCTTGACATACTTACTGGGCTTAGTTCCCAACACCTCGAGAGGAAGAGTTCCTTCCCTAGACTGACTGGCATCCATAAGGGCAAGGCCTAGCTACCTTTACCCGGCCTTGTGCGGAGAGCCAGCTGAGGAAATAGGTACAAAGCCGCAAGGTGAGGAAGTATACAGATTTTATATGCGTGACGAAACCCCAGGTAGCGTGAATTCAAGAATTAATCATATTTATTAACACGTATTTATTTCTTGTGTGTGTTCGAATGCGGGTCGTGTGGAGGTCAGAGGACAACCTGGAGTTGGGCTTTCATTTTGTTATGTAGGTCCCTAGGGATGGAACTCAGGTTGTCAGACTTGGCAGCAAGCGGCCTTACTCGTGGACCCATCTCCAGTCTCTGTATGTTTTACAGATTCTCAGGACACCCGCTGAAACGTTTTATTCTGAGAGTATATTAGCATTTGAAGCACTTATGGACATCACAATGTAATTTTGCACTTTAGGATGGCGTGGAATTTTTTTCCACAGCAGCTTTTAAAAAAAGTTTTGTATGCGTGCTCATGAGCATGCACCAGTGCATGTGGGTGTGGCGGCCAGAGGTGGATGCCAGATGCTGTTACAATGAGAGACAAGGTCTCTCATTGAATCTGGAGCTCACTGATGCAGCAAGCTCCAGGGATCCCCCACACCCCCATGGGTATTATAGCTGTGCACTACCATCTCTACCGTTTTACATGGGTTCTGAGAATCTGAACTCAGGTTCAAACGCTTTGTCAGGCATTTTACCAACTGAGCCTCTCCTAGCCCCACAAGCTTGGTTTATAAACATTCCATCAATAGTATTCCATTGTAGAGGTTACAGTATACCCTGACTATGTCCTCATTAATATAGGCTTAGGCTATATTCTTTATAAGCAATGCTATAGGAAACACAATTCAAAATCTTTACATTCTTTTTAAAGCTTTAATTTTATTCAAAAATCCCTTTGAAACTTTATAACTCTTTACAGATAGTACTGTTAATATCAATATTTTCATAGGAAAGTATTCTCTTTATACTATCAATAATTAAATTATGTTTTTACAACGTTTTAAATATATTTGTTGGGTAAATACAGCACACAGAAACTGACAAAAAGTAATGTACAATTAAAAGTTTGATAGTTCTCTAACTTTTAAAGGCCATGCTGTTTAGGAGTAAAAGGAATGTTAATAGAAAAGCCAGAAAAAGATCTTCACTTTCACACAAACCAGTGATAAATGATTAACCAGCATGTAAAAAGATGTTCAGCAGTAGAAATATAAAGCATGTTCTTAAATAGGCTCTATTTACTGAAGGACAGCTAGCTTTCTTCTGAGGTTTAGGAAATACAAAAGTGTCATAGATACTGACATGCAGGTTTTTGCATGGACATAAGAGGCAAACAAAAGGAGATTCATTATATGCTAAGACTTTTATCTTGGTGGTGCTGGGGCCTAACCCAGCCCATGCACATGCTGCACAAATGCTCGACCACTGAGATATATTCTTAATGATGGATTGTGTTTTGAAATACAGTCTTAATATGTAGCTCAGGCTGGGCTTGAACTGAAGTGGCCCCCCTGCTTCAATCTCCTAGTCAACACAATGCCAGCTTCAAGGGGTTTTTTTTTTGGTTGTATTATATTACTACTATTATTATAGGGCTGGAGAGATGACTTAGTAGAACATATTACTCTTGCACAAAACCAGAGTTCAATCCCCAGCACCCACACTGTGCAGTTCATTGCCTGTAATTCTAGCTCCCCTCCCAGGGAGATCTAACAACTCTGGTCTACACAGACCCCCCCCCAAATAATTTAAAAGACATGTATCTATAAAGTTACTTAAAAATACAATACAAACTTCTATTACAATTCTTAGTGCTGGGCATGATAGTGTACACCTTTAATCCCAGCATGGGGGGGAGGGGGAGGTGAGGCAGAAGGTAAACTAATTACTAATTTAAAGATATGACATAGACTGTTACTTCCCCCTCCCTTTCCTATTGGCTTATATCCTGTCTGTAGTGGCAAATCATATAATTGCATTTATCTTCTATAATTGGGAGAACTGAATGGGTGGTGACACACAGTCTTCTATTACACTCTGTATTTGGATATTAAAGGCAGGATACTACCCAAAGAGAAATGCCTGACTTAGTCATCATGGAGAAAGCCTAGATCAAATATCCAAGTATTTCAGAGTACATAGGGCTTCAAATTTTAAATTTTTCCATTAAGAACAAGATATTCTATCTATATGCTTCCTTATTAAACTGAAAAGAATCTGTTTTAAATTGGTCTCAGTATGGCACTCAAGTTATTTGGGACAAGTACTCATGATATCAACTTAATTTTGTTTGTAATGGCTGAAGAAAAAAATAGTTTTAGCTTATAAGTAAAAGAATTGACTTTGCATGGTTTTCAGTGTCTCAAATGTGTACTTCTCGTACACATTAGGTTTCCCTACAGAAAATGGTTTCATTGCTTCTAGTCAGCTTAGTCAGTCAGACAGGCCAAGGACTGCTAGGTGCAATTCTGACATCTATCATTCCTTTCATCCCTTTAGTTCTGCACAAAGCAAGACCCTCTCCTGCTTCCTGTTAGTTTTGGCCTAAGATACATATGCAAATTTGGGGAAAGCTGCTCAAAGGAGGCTTACTGAGCCAAGAAGAACCTCTTTTTATGGCCTTAATAACTGATGGCATGCACTATGATGGAGCCAAAAGGCCAGAGATTCAGACTGTAGGGATACCATGGATCATCTTTGGCACCAGCCTTTTCTATTGGACAAGAAAAATATTTGCAAGCCAAGTGGAGTGAAACCAAGTTGTAATCACTACAAGGGTCCATCTGTCTTCCCAGAGTGGCATAACTTAAGAAGCCTTTTTCTTGGAGAACTATAGCCTGTGCTATTCCAAACTCAGAGGCAATGTCTACCAACCACTCTGGTAATGTGCCTGGGAAGACTCCTCCACTTATTTTCATCATTAGCATCAATGTGACAAAATGACCACAATCATCTTGCCAAGCTGATTTTAATGGTCAAAATTATTTCAAAATAACTATCATTTAAAATTTGCATCATTGGTATCAAAGAGAAAAAGTCATTTTTCCCCAAGGGACATTCATTAAAAAGTGTTTTTCAAGCAGTCACTGTAATGGCACTGGAGCTGCCACATAAGAAAGTTGCTGCTTAGATTCAACACAGGTTATTCAAATGACTTATAGTCTCCTGCATAGTTTAAGGAAAACTCTGATTTGTAACTTAAACAATGTGATACTGTGATTCAAACAGGTAGGAAATGTAAAACGAAATGAGCTAATCCAAGAGAGGCAGGTTCCATAGTTATACAGCAAGTTTCTGAATACACTTTCTGAAGTGTATTAACTGACGGTTCATGGGTAAAGTGGACATAAGGCCACCATGTGGGTGAAACTCGTAGGGAAAATGTTTAGCTAGCCTATTTTAGACTTTTGAGAATGTGTATTTCCAAGCAGTAGTAGATTTATTTGGGGCTTAATTTTTTTAACCTTTTCCTTTCTTTTTGTGTATGTGTGCACCTGTGTGAGCATGTGTGAACCATTTGTGTACAGGAGTCTGAGGAGGCCAGAAGAGGGTATCGGATTCCCCAGAACTGGAGTTACAGATGGTTGTGGACTGCTATATAGATGCTAGGAACTGAAAATGGATGGATCCTCTGAAAGAGCAGAGTGTTGACTGCTGAGTCATCACTCATGCCCCTTCGGATTTTCTTTTTCATGTGTGATGTTTGCATGTGTATGGGTGCATGTGCACTTAGATTAACATTAGGAGTCTTCCTTGATCATACCAACAACTGTTCTCCAAATTCCACTACCTGAATCCAGAGTTTGTTGATATAGCTGGTCTGGCTAGTCGCTTGCTCTAAAGATCCCATTTCTGCCTCCTGAGGGGTGGGCCACAGGTGGGCTACTATACCCATCTGACTTCTACATGGGTGCTGGGGATCTAAAACATTGTCCTTACACTTGCATAGCAATCGGTTTAACCACTGAGCCACCTCCCCAACCCTCATTAGTCTTATTTTACAGGAGCCTGTCACTTTAGTACTTGCAAATATATCAGTTTGCTCTCATTCTTTATAAATCTGTAGGCACTTGACTTGTTGATTTAAAAGATTTCATTCATATACAAGGCTATTACTTAGAGATAAATAATCTTGTACTTATCACATTAAAAGCTCTGAGACGTCCTGTAGTGAAGAATTGCTTAACTCCAATTTCACCATCTAAAGTGAAATTATTATAGTCTAATTATGGCTTTAAGTAAAACAAAGGAGAGGGAAGCAATGGAGGCAAATGGCTTCCAATATGGCCTCCAAGAATTCTGATGCCATGGTGACTTTTTACAAAGCATTGCTTGCTTGTCTAAGTAACATTCTGAAATCTCAGAGAACCTCGTCAAGCCACTTTTTTTTTGTGGTGATGTCTCTGATGCTGGAAGAGACCTGACTTCTGCCTGAAGGCTTCTTTGCATTCACTACACTGGTAGGGTTTTTCTTCATTGTGGATTCTGACATGCTGATCTAGGTGTGAGTTTAGTCGGAAGGCTTTCTGACATACTTTACATTTGAAAGGTTTTTCTCCAGTGTGAATCCTGTGATGTCGAATAAGGTCTGAAGTCAAATTGAAGGCTTTCCCACACTCATTACAATGATGTCTTTTGAAGCGACCGTGGATTTTCTGATGGTGGGTGAGAAGCAGGGCCTTACTAAAGACTTTCCCACAATCCTTGCATTCACAGGGCTCCTCCTGATTGTGAATTTTTTGGTGTCGATTAAGATGAGAGCTTCGCCTAAAGTTCTTTCCACAATAGATACACAGATAGGGCTTTTCTCCAGTATGGATTCTGAGATGCTCCAGAAGACCTGCATTCTGGCTAAAGACTTTTCCACACTCTTTGCACTTGTAAGGCTTCTCACCAAGGTGGATTTTCTGATGTCTGATGAGGTGTGAACTCCTCTGAAAGACTTTTCCACACTCATGGCAGAGGTGACCTTTCTCTTTGGAGAGGACTTCTGGATGTTCAGTAGGATCAGAACTCTGACACACTACAGATTCACAAGACTTTTCTCCTGCATGTGCCCCTTCATGTTCAGTCAGGTCTGAGTGCTGAACAAGTCTCTCCTTAGTTTCCAAGCATTGGCTGCTAGTTTTCTCCTTGGGCATGGCAGGTTGCTTTTCCAAGTGCAAGTCTTCACAGTGGGCTTCAATGAATTCAGATGTTGTATAAGCTGATTCTATTCTTCCAGAAGCGTCTGCCACTACAATGAGCTTCCTATTATAATTCCTTGTTTCCTTACCTGAAACATTAAATATATACATATCACTACTTATTTCATTTTTGGTGCTCAGGAAAGGGAGTCTTCAAACAGGAAGAAATATTTAAATCAAGCCATGTGTATAAATTTAAAAGAATTAAGAGAAAAAATTTTATGTGTATGAGTATTTTGCCTGCATGTGTACCACATGCATGCAGTGCCCATGGAGACCATAAGAGTGTCCAGTTCCCTGGAACTGGAGTTACAGATGTTGTGAGTTGTGATGTGGGTGCTGGGAACTGAAACCAGATCCTCTGCTAAAGCAGCCAGTGCTCTTAACAGCTAAGCAATCTCTTTTGTCCCCACAAAGTTAAAAAAAAAAAAAAATTCTTTGCTTATGATTATTTAAAATACACACACACACAACCACACACACACACACACACACACACACACACACACACACACATGATTTACAAGAAACTGTGGTTTTGATTTTCAGTTTCTTTTGAGGAAAGATTTCAATATCAACCTTGCCTAACATAAACCTTCTCAAGTCCTGAGATTACTGTCATGTGCCAGCATATCCAGCTTAACATCCAAGAAATTGTTAACTATGATTGGCTTGGGGGAAGGATAAGGGTCATGGTAGGAGGTAACTTATTTTAAATGTTCTCAATTTTATTATGTGATACACATCACACACAGAGAAGCTACTAAGCATGACTACATATTCTTGATCATAATTTGTCTCATGGGGAACAAAAAGCAGAAAACTGTAAAACTGGGTTCATCGGAAGACAATCACATTACAAAGGGATGGTACTTTGAAAAATGAAAATGTGTTGCCATAATGACAATTTATCATGAGTAGAATGTAATCTTAGGAAAGTAATCAATAAATCAATAATAAATAAATAATAAATCAATAATCAATAAATCAACAGTGCCAGGACTACAAGACCTTGAGAATAATGAATTTGCAAAAACATCATGTTGAAACATGAAAGCTGGGTAGTTGTAGCGCATGCCTTTAATCCCCAGCACTCAGGAGGCAGAGGTAGGTGGATCTCTATGAATTCAAGGCCAGCCTGGTTTACAGAGCAAGTTCTAAGACAGGCCCCAAAGCTACAGGGAAACCCAGTCTCAAAACAAACAAACAAAGTATCTCCCTCCAAGAGGGGAACAGAGGTTCCTTAACCTACTCATATGTTACATGTTTTTCTAAAATACCAAACAGGGAAGAAGACAGAAGTCAGCTTCAGAAATAAGAATAGCTAATAATTAATAGATTCTGTTTACTCAAGGTGAGGGGCTGTAACAGATTTAGAACACAATACAAAATCCTGCCCTTTAACTATGGAAAGAGAAAAAGAGAAGTAAGCCAGAAACCATAACACAGTATAACATGTCAGCACATGTGGGACAATGATCCAGATTCAGAGGAAGGATATGGGGAGAGTAGGGGAGTTGAAAAAGTAGGGAATATAATGAGGCAGGAAAGACCCAGAAGAGAGAAACTAGGAGGAGGAAATGGGAAATGAAATGGGACATGTCAGAAGTGCCTGAGTGGGAGGCACAGGACAACTTGTTATTGATCTTGGGGGGGGGGGCGGATGGTGGTGTTTGCTGCATCTCTTTGTTCCTCTTCCCAACAATGGCCACAGTTTTCAGATATCAAAAAATTGGAATAGCATTACCCAGTTCACTAAGGGTTTTAAGGAAGGGGAAACAATAATTTGTATTTAAGCAATAGAAAAGAAAAGAAAGATTTCAAGGCCAGTCTAGTCTTCATAGTTGCAGTTGAGATCAACAGGGCTACAGAAGAAGACC